TGTTTCGTGGTAAAGCCTTGGGGGCCGACGACGCCGGGACGCCCGCTCGAGTTGCTGATCATTGGGAAATGAGAAGCCGACTGCAAGTGGTGCCGGCGACGCAGTTGAAATGATTTTTACGGCAAGTTTGATCAGCAAGTATGAACGCCGCCCCGACACCGACAGCCAACCCAAGGCAAGACGATAAGGCGTTATATGGGCCATGCGAGGTATGTCACCGTATATAAAGCGTATGGATGCGTTTTGGAGTCGTTGAAGACGTAGGTTTTGGTCGGCTGTCAAGCTTGTGAGCAGGACAGCAGCGTAATCGAGGTGCGGAAGTATGAGAGCCTGTACTAACCTTTGCGTAAGGTGAAAGTGAGTTGATTGCGCAGATCCCTACACGGAAAAACTTTTGAGATAAAATCGCGCTCTGAGTCGAGCGCAATTCATGCTCAGTCTCGAGGCTGAACCGCGCTCAGTAAAACTCGCGTGTAATTCGTTTTCAGAATTCGAGCGTGAAACATGGTCAAAAGTTTTTCCGTGTATTCGTTATACTTTGATGTATTTGAAGTAGTACACGTGTCACCGCTAGGCAGCACAGAGCGAAAATGTAATTCACGCGAATGAATTTATTAAGTATGTAAATTAAATAGAACTAAATATACCCAAACGTTCGAGTACAAGTAAAATTATTTTATTTCTCATGTTTTGAATTCTCTATCCGCTGACAAACCTTGGCCGGTGTCACAATTAGGACATTGAACAATAACTGTGCGATTTTCATTACCCATTCCTTGAATTTTCTCCATAAATTTTGATCGCAGATTCCGAACAAGTGGGTTGTCCAAGAATGCCAGAAAGAAGATCCTTGGCCAAAGCCAGCTCTGTTTTTTTTCTGAATCACGGCCTAAGTAATGAAAGCACTGTTCTTTTGTGCACATGATTTTGACTTTTCGATGATCTGTTAAACCATCATTTTCACTAATTATTTCGTTGAAAAAAATGACGGATTCGTTATACTCGTGCAAATGCAAGTAAAATTTCATTAGATATTCTTCAGCTTTTTGTTTTTGTGTTCGGCCTTTAATTGCTGTAGCAATACTCTTCAGAATTTTCTGAAATATCATTTGATGAGTAACGTCGAAGATTATTGACGTTTAAATATTTAACAGAAATTGCATTGTGTGCAGAAATTAACATTGGCTCTTCACTTCTTATTTGTTATATTGTTTTTTATTCAATAACAACTTCCTGATAATGATCACTGCTTGATCTACAATTTTAAGGACTTATCAAAATTCGGAAGAACGTTTTAAATTTATTTTTTTTACTTTTGCTATGCTGCATACTGTGACTACTGAGAAAATCTTTCTCTCTTTCCTTTGGCATCCGTGACACGCGCTACTTCTTTTCGACTGGTGGACACTTTTTTTCCGCTTCTTCTTCTTTTTCACATGGCGCCTGCAAATTTATGTACCTTTATTCAAATATCCGAACTTCGTTTTTAGCTATCGTCGTCGTCGTCATTGCGGTAAGAAAATCCCCGTCGAGTTTGCGATTAAAATGAGCGATATCATCACTTTGAATATTCGCGGATGCGTGTCGAGGAAAAAAAAAGACGGAAGAAATGTCAATTGAAATGCTTCAACTTCGAAAATTCTCGCGAAAGTAAGACACCGCGGTGCCCGCATACATATACCGCGCTTTGAATACCTGATGCGTATGCAAGTGATTTTTTCTCCCGGTCCCTCGTGCATTTTGCTTATGTCTCTTATAAAGTGTCGAGAATTTGCACGCGTTCCCTAAAAAATTCATGCGCTCCGCGCTCGTGTAAGATTATTTTTTTTCCAAGTAACCGCATAAAGCTGTAATTTTTGACTTGAATGATGAAAATGAATGTAATTCTTGTTCGTACAATATTGAAGTAAAAGATTAATGTATAGGTCTCTCATGATTATGAACTTAACATAAGGGCCAACCGATGTAATTAACGTTTGGCTGCTGCGGCTGCTGCTGCAAAATATTACAGACAGACGGAATTAAAAATTTTTAACTTAATCGTGAGGTACGTCCGGTATTGATACTTTTATGATTATTTTAGTAAAATTGAATAGAACAATTCGAAGTTTATTTTAGGCGTTCTTTTATGAATCTCAGGACTTTCATAAGTACGACAGCGCCATCTATTGATACTGTTTTTACTCTTTGGTTAGGGTACATCCAGCAGAAATTTGTTTGTTTACGCCACTCGCAGCACGTGGCTTTGGGCGCTTCTTTTGTCTCTCTCAATTTCGTACGCGAACCCACATCAAGTTTCAACGCCATGATTCTAGACCTTACCTTAGCTAAATATTACATCTTTTTTGAAAGTGAATAAACTATACGTACAGTGAAATTATATCTTTGTAATTCAACATAGTGTTTCATAATAAAGTTATGAACAAGTGTCATTTTTTGTTTCTATAAAAATTCGATAAGTTATAATTTTTCATTTCGTTTTCAATTCTGCAAAAAGTGAGATTCAAGTTTTATTTAAGTTTATCTGTGACTCCATTCACATTTGTCAAGCCGCTGAAAAAAAGTTCAACTCAGCCTGGTCTCACTGAATTTTCTCGTAGATTCTAAAATAATAAAATGTTTTCTCTGATAATTTACAATGATCGACGAAAAACTTTTCAAATACTCACTTTTAAATTTGTGCACTGAAAATATTTAAATGTTGAGATTAAAGTTGGATAATTTAATTTCTAGCTTATCTGAAAGTAAATTTCATAACAAAACAAAAAATCAATGCTTTTGTTCGTAACTACCAAATCGAAAAAAATGTTTTAATTAAAAGATATTACATAAATCTGTTACGCAATAGTATATATTATTATTTTACGCAGTTACTGAACAAGAATCATCGAAGTTTATTAGAATGTTGCAAATTTTAAGTCGCAAAGGTAAATTCTTGTCAAGATAATTTTCATTAATAAACGAAAAAACATCAAAAAAAAATTTTAACTTTCTCAAAGAGAGTATAGTGAAGTCATAACAATGATGTGCGCTACTCTGCAAAATTCGCGAAAATATTTTGGAGGAAAAAAGACAACGCGGAATAATCGCGGCGATGACAGCAACGAGCCATCAGGAAAAAGATTCAGAGTTCAATTAATGAGTCAGTTTTGCCACTTTTTAATTTTTTTTCATTATGGCTTTCTCTATAGAGGAAGCTATTGTTTGAATTTGTTCACTGAATTATTAGATTCAATTTAAAAAAATATATTTGCTCGAAATTTCGCCATAATTTTGCCATCATTTCAGCAAAATTTTGGCTTCATTTTTCAAAATTTGACCCAAAGATTTCAGAATTTTTGGAAAAAAATGAACCAAACTACGAAAACGTGGAGTTGTAGTTTGGGGTAGTCTCCTGCGCCAAGATTTTGGCAGGTTTCGCCCAAAGACCAAGTTTGGTATTGCTTGGGTGAAACTTTTAGATTTTTATGCGGGAATGAGGGAAAGCTGAGAAACAGATATAAACGTGGAAACAGAATTCAAAATAATTAAGCTTGACGAAGAAGGGACTGCTAAAAAGTCAACTGGACTCTTCGACTTTTGAACAGATCGCTTTCTTCACGAGTGAAAATGAACCGATAGTATGTTCGAAACGAACTTGACTTATATAATTATTTCAACTTTGCCACTTGCAGATTTACAGATTTAAAGGTAATCGCCATCTAGTGTTATAGGCTGAAAGTAATATTATCGTATTTAACCCAGTGACGATTGAGTACTTTTTTCTCCAAATTAAATCACACAATATCACATTGAAAGGGTTTGTTCCGATTATGGACTGAATTTAAGGTTGCCTTTTTGTTCAAATGATTTATGAAAAAAATTCTTCGCAATTTTCATTTTACGATTCTTCGGGTTATTATTGAATCGATCGATTGAAATATTGTATCTTCTCGTTGTCATCGTAACGATCGTCATGAAAAATTCCCACGAAAATCTTGCATTGTCTTATCGAAGCTTTTATAGAGCTTTCGTTATGAGCGTTTGATTAGAAAACAAAATCCGTTTTAGCCGTAATTTAGACGTTCAGAAGAATTTGACTTTTAAAGAAGCTGGATATTTTTTTGTTTGTTTTATTTACTAGATCGCCCAAAACATTTCAAGTACAATGTTTCAATACATATTATTTCGAGAATATTTACACATTTTTTAGATACGACAATACCGATCGACTTTATTGATATTTATTTATTCTATCAATTTAATTATATCTAATTATATATATTACGCTAATTTTACATATTATACTAGTTATTTATGTATATAAAAATTATTCCTATCGTTAGGCTGATTACAAAAATATAAAAACACCGAATAAAACTTATTGCTTTTTTTTTATCGTTTGACCGGCCGCACAAACGATTTAGATCCTCGCGCAAACGATCAAGATCCTTGACTTTAATAGAATTGCCAACCGAGAGCTGAACTGTACGTGGTACACTAATTAAGCTCATTAAGCTACACGATTTAAAATGATCCAATAACAATTCAAATTGGGTACGAGGTACACTCAATTTACAATGATCCAATAATAATTCCAGGTGGGGAATTATTAAAACGTTTGCAATGTGTCGTTTTACAACGTCTCGAGAGATCTTGTCAATACTCAGATGCGGTAAACACCAATACCTCGAGTTCTTTAAAATCGAAGAAGCCTCCTTGTAACTCTTTTCGCAAATTTTTAGCAGCGAGACGTCTTTATTCACCATAATGCCTTTCAATGCCCGAATGATAGGCGCACATGGTATGCGATCGTTATTTAGGTTCAATGAAACCGTTCCACTTGGTTGCGAAAGCTTTTTTTTCAAGCGATCGACCGCTTCTGGCAAAAGAAAAAATCTATGCTCAGAATGCAATTCTAGGCGTAATTTCATCGTTCGTGAGTCTATCATTTTCCATACATTCCAACTATTTATGTCTTCCTTTGCTTTAAATTAAAGGGCGAAAAAGTGAATTAATCTCTATCGAATTAAAATTGTAATGCCAACCAAATTGAATAACTCACTGGACACGAGACTCTGCAAATCATCCATTTCGTGTTTCGCAGCTTCCGACCAAAATATCAGAAACTTAGATCGAGCAAGGGAGTTCATTACGAATCCCTTCGTCGTCAATAATGCCATCATCTCGGGAACGTACAAAGCGACCGGATAGAACATCAATTCGTACTTGGTATAATCTTTTATGTTCAACGATATATTCTCGTTCAGATTCCTCAAACTCGCTCCGTGTCTCAGAAGCGCCCGGGTCAGACTGTAGTCCAATCGCGACACGGCCCACTCCAGCGGAGTCAGGCCTGCGACGTTGCGCTCGTCGACTCGCGCACCTCGACGAACGAGCATGTCGACGATTGTCTCGACGGGTCTCGGCGCCGAGTCCGGATCCGTGAGGGGCCAGCAAGCCTCCGGGCAGTCGCATCGGCGCAGTCTCGCCAACCCGTGAAGAATCCTCGAGCCCTGCCGCCGGTCGTACCAGTTCGGATTCGCTCCGTGGTACAGCAGGCATCGCACGGCGTCCTCGCGACCGCACTTGGCCGCGATGTACAGCGGCGAGAGCGCGTACGTGTCGATATTGCAGACGCGCGCGCCCAGGGTCAATATGAATCTTTGCAGCGTCGAGTAGTCGCCGATCATGCAGGCCCCGTGAAAGTACGTGAAGCCCTGCCCGTCCCGGTAATTATCCTGCGCATCTTTCAGCAAGTAATCGATGATCAACTTGGCGCTCGCGAGGTAGGTCTTGTGGGGCTCGACGTACTTCCGTTTGACCAACCAATGAAGCACGGACTTTCCATCTGCGAATTCGGCTTTGTGAACGTTGACCGCCATTCTCTCGTGCAGACACGCCACTATCCGAAATTCGTTATTCTTCAACGCGAATAGCATAGCGTCGGCCTCGCTTGGAAATACGCTCGTGTCTTTTATTATAATCTTTAATTCCTCGAACAACGAATTTTGTCCATATTCACCACGATATTGGCTTTGATTGGCCCCTTCTATCATCATGCGACAAAACTCTTTACTTCTATCTTCCATATCTTGTATACTCAACAGTTTCGATCTCTTCTTTCTCATGTTCTCGAGTGCCATATTTCGGCTGTATAAATTTCTTGCCACGATATTTTTGAACGAACCATCAACACAATATAGTACGCGATCGAGATCAAAGCTGGACTGTACGCTCGGGAAATGGACGGAAATAAAAAGACACGGAGACGTTGATTGCTAATCGCGAACTTTGATTAACCGGTGACGACCCCCTTTCTCGCGACTGTTACGTGTGGCGATTCACGTCGGATCGGCAGAGTAGCGTCGTCGGTGCGCGGGATACTTTCGAGTTGAGAGGGGGGCCCTTTTCCAGTTCTACATAATATAAGGTAATGTTTTTGTGTAATTAGGTCAAACGAGTTCAAGATAAACTCTCATTGTTATGATCGTCGAGTACGCGTGGCGATTAATTTAATTAAGAATGAATACATTTCAGTTTCCTCGTTATTTTGGGCGTCTTTTCAACCCCCAGCATTTACTTATTAAAATTTTTCCTTTTTTTTGTAATTTTCTGGTATATAATCCTGTTCAATATTTTAATGGAGAAGTGCGTAAAATTTTGTAAGGATCTGCTCAATAAATTTGGAGATTATCGTTCAGAGAACGCGATTTTGACGTACAACTTTGCACTCTTACCCTGTCGAAATATATACAAGAAAAATTATTAAAACCACTAAATTTCTAATGCTTATATTTTAAATTGCGCAAATCAACAATTTGCAATAAAAAATTGAAAATTCACACAAAAAACGTGTTTTTATTCTTAGAAAATAAATATTTTTTTTCTTAAAAAATTGATGGCTTAAATAAAAAAATTAACTTTCAAGTTACACTATTCTTGATTTCATAAACTATTGAGTATAGTGAAAAAGTTTATGAAACAAAAAAGTTTGAGTGAGCTTGCCTCGAATTTTTATTAATAACACTATTAAGAGCTTATGTTGGGTCTATTTTTACTTAACGTAATGGCACAACTTAAATATTATTAAGGGCTTATATACACCTAAAACTCAAAATTGGTTTTTATTGAATTTTTGAATAGGATATTCCCCTTTTTATTGCATTTTTCGAAACTCTTAAATTTCGACTTTGCTTTGAGATACAGATGTTTACGAGCGCCTTTTTCGTATAGTTGACGTGTTAAATTTTTTCTTCTTTTGCGTTTTTCGGCAAGTAGTATTTCAACATCACGTTCGCGTACACTTTTTCGTAATATCAATTGTTAAGGTCACTACATCGGATGAGATGATCGAGATCGAGACGAAAAGAATGTGAGCTTAATTTAAACTGTTCATGCAGAGTGACCTGCGTGTTCAATCGTCTCACCCCTAGTAGAGGCCGTAAGCATTGATGTTGATCTGAAGAAGTGCACGCGCCCCTGGTGTCGAAAGCTCAAACGGTACCCTTCAAAAATTGCGACAGGTGGCAAAACCACTACTCGCCAGATAACGCAAAAGAAGAAAAATTTAACATGTATAAAAGTATAGGAAAAAGGCTCTCGGAAACAGCTGTATCTCAGAGTAAAAACAAAATTTTAGAGTTTCGAAAAATGCAATGAAAAAGGAAGAAAAAATCCTACTTGAAAATACAATAAAAAATTTTTGAGTTTAAGGTATATATGAGCAAAAAAATACACTTTTTCGATCGTTCTTTTTCACAAATTCCGCAAAGTTCATTTTCGAGCGAGTGGCAAATGAACAGAAAAAATCTAGAAAATTTTTTGACACCACCAAAATTTAGGATTTTTCATGACAAATCAAATGGTATAAATTAGTATATACTTTGAAATTATTTTAATGCAGAAAAATACAACTTTATCCCAAAAAACGACATTACGAAAAATTGAAAAATCGAAAAGTGTATTAGTTTCTTTCAGGAAATGGCTAAGTAGAATCAACTATGGAAAAAATTGCATGGAACTATCTGATAGGTTTTTTTCTCACCTTTCCAACGCCGGTTTCAGAAGTTAAAAATTCGCAAGATTCGCTGAGATACAGCTCTTTTTGTACGATGCATTTTTTAGGCTTTAAATTCAATAATTCTGAGCTAGCTCTATTCATTAAAAAACCAGCGAAGCAGAATTTAAGCTGACTACAGCATTCAATTCTGCTGACAAAAACAAATAAGAAAATGTATTGTCAAGATTATTTTTACACTCTAAACAGAGCTTGAAATAAATCGAATGATAGCCCGATTTTACTTCTTTTTTAGAGCTCGTTTTTAAACTTCAAAAATCCATCGACACCATCTAAAATCATTTTTTTGAGTTCTAGTTTATGGGAAAATTCATTTTAAACCTCAAATTTTCTGATTCCGATGGATCCCCTGAGATACAAAAAATTTTTGAAAAAGTGGACCACCCTACTATATATGCTTATAGCTCAAAAAAGTGTTTTTTTTTGTATAAATACGCTTGACTTTTGAGCCGTTTTTGTGGCCATATAATGCGTTTTTCGAAAAATCAAAGGTCACCATCGGAAAGAGCATGTAAAAATCTTTCAAAATACATGTGTCGATTATTTTTTCAAGGTCACTAGCAGTTTTACCAGCGAATTAGAAAAGTTTTGATCGGTGGATAATGGAGCGCGCGTTTTGCCTGCACTAATTATTTTTCCTCGGAACACAAATGCTTATAAAAAAATTACCTATTAAAATTTCGATTGTTCACGCATTTTTTTAGCTTCCTAGGACCTTCAAGAACAATACCCAATGTTCAAAGTATGCGTCCAACGAAAAAAAATTGTTCCGTTTTTAGTCGAAAAATTCGAAACTAAATTCCGGAATTGCTCATATAAGCGCTTAAGTACACCAATATTATTTCGTTTACAATTTGCAATCATTTGAATTGCTTATGTAGCTGTTTTTGGGATGAACTTATCGTTGTAGCGAAATAATAATAATTTATATTTGTCCTAGTGTATTCTAAAACATTTGAGAGGCATTTGGATAGACCTAGTGTTTTTTTAACAACAAAAGTAACAGTGTATTTTTGTTGCAAACGCAAAAAAATGTGTGAAATTTCTCATGGGTCTATAGCCCGTAGTTTTCGATAAAAGCGCTCAAATTTGGGCAACCGTCTGTGCGCGTGTGTTGGCGGTTTGTACTTGTGCAGGCGCTTTGTATTTTTAAAAATTTTAGAAGTTACTCGTGACTACTTGCCTATGCTGTAAATGTCGTTTGACCCAGTAACTCTCATAATCGTAGCATGAACTTTTACATGCGCGAGCGGGGCATGTGAGTACGAGAGAGAGAGAGAGATAAAGATACACGTCGCGCTGTCTACACTATTATGTAGTCTCGGGCTATCTCTGCCTTTTTTATTTGACCGAAAAAACCACGATTATCGAATACTAAACAGATTTTAAATGATGTTCAGAGAATTAAATTTTTTGAAAAATTACTTTTTCGATATGAGATTTTACTCTTCAAGTTATTGATGAAACTTTGACAAGGTAATGTAAGTGTGCGTGTTAATTCAATACCACTCACTGTACATTTTTAACAAAGCTGACATCGGCATCGTCTTTATCCCCGTTTCAATTTCACGACATTAATTTAGAACGCATAACGACTAATTAACCATGAATGTGTAAAACCGCATCTCTATCAGTCGTACCAGTCAAAAAAGTCGAAGTATTTACTCGATTATAAAATTCTTATCTATGTAGGCATTACGTGTATCTACAGGTATACTTTCTCTCTTTCTGCTTGTGTAACTGGTGTCGGTCCGACGACCATATACATATGTACACAAAAAGTATTGCTCATCATTGAATTCGGTAACTAGTTTGAGCAGTGAATCTAGTTTATAAGTGTAAGACCACGCATGTACGTCGACACACATACGCACACACCCACACGTATTCACGTACGCAGCTGTTCGTCTGTTTTTAGATTCAAACCAACACGCGCGTTCGCTTTCTCAATTCATCGAAAAAAAGTGTGCCAGTAAGCGTGTCGACGCCACGAGGCGAACAACGAAGTGACGCATATATATACATATTTCGTCGACTGCGCAGCCAGTGTTTCTCGTGCTAAACGAAAGAAAAATAGTGTAACATTCTTATAAAAATTGTGCAGCGACTGTGCGTGCGTGCGTGCATGTGTGTTGTGCTGTGCGCGAGTGATGGATAAGTTGTGGTTAAACGATGGGCGTGCTATACCTCCGCCCGGAGAAGGTGAACGGAGATGCGAGTATACCGTCGAACTGCTCAAGAGTATACGAGCAGAGGTGAACTGGAAGCGCGCGCTCGACAAATACGTATTTCTCCTACGGTTCGACGACGAGATCTCGAGCCACTGGCCGTGCCGCGCCTGCCCGTATCCCAACCTCCGCGACATCTTCAGCCGCGAGGAGATCGAGCTGCTCTTCGCCGAATCCGCGCGCAGCAACCACGAGTTCATCCAGGCGGAGCGATTCATCGCGTTCGCGATCGAGTGCGGCTACAGGGACGAGCCCGAGCTCACGCAAGACGGCAGCAACGTAATTAGGCGCGCGACGCCGATTCATCGCGCGGCCGCGTTCACGGGCCCCTACGCCGGCGAGATCATCGATCGGCTGTTTCGGATCTACGACAGGTACGACGCGAGCTACGTGGACGAGACCGGACTGACGCATCTGCACGTGGCCTGCGGGGCCGGCCTCAATCACGTCGTCGACAAGTATCTGCGCGCCGGCCGGGTGGACCCGAACGAGGCCTGGCCGGGCACGGGCGACACCCCCCTGCACCTGGCCTGCCGCCACGAGAACGAGCCGATGGCGCGCGCGCTGCTGCTGGCCGGGGCCGATCCCAACGCCCGCACCGCTGCCGGCCAGACGCCACTGCACGTGATCTGCAATCTGCCATCGGCCTCCGCGAGCAGGCGCATGGCCAGGCTGCTGTTCGGCTGCTGCAAGGCAACGCAGCGACGCGTACAAGTTGACGCCCGCGATAGGTTCGGCAATCCGCCTCTGTTCGCGGCCATATTTCAAGGCCGGCGACGCTTGATCGCGCGGCTACTGAGAGAGGGCGCCGACCCCACCGCCACCAATCTGGACGGCT